TTATTATTATTATTATTATTATTATTATTATTATTGTTATTATTATTATTATTATTATTATTGTTATCATTATTATCATTATTATCATTATTATTATTACTATTAATTATCAAATAATAGTAATTATTATTATCATTAATGCTAGTAATATTAGTAGCAACAATAGTAGTGGTAGTAGTAGCAGTAGTAGTAGTAGCAGGAGCAGTAATAGTAATAATAATAATCGTAGCGATTGTTAATAACAGTATTAATATTAACAGATAGATGAAACCTGTTGCTACTAAAGTTGCTGTTTGATTGCTGTATAAACCGGCTCCAAATAAAATCACCAAAATATCTTATACGGTTATTTGTTATAATAGTAATATTACTGTAATTAATTAGTACTAATAATCATTGGCTGTTTACCATATATTGGATTCACCTCTCTTTCATTAAGCATATTACGCTTTAATTCTCCCTTTATTGGTTAATAATTTTGAAATGTTAAACATAAATGCTTAATTAACATTTCATTGCTTATTTCAATTTTTGGTATTTTTTTTTTAAAGAAAGAATTTTCTAGCAATGATAAACTTATGTCATTCAACTTTTTTTTTTTGATTGAGTAATAATTTTTAAATTGAACTTTGTCCTCTTTCGTTTTTTTTTTTTTTTCTATATCATAATACGTGTTCTTTTTGTTTTTTGATACTTCAATAATGACTTTCTTCTTTTATTTAATTAGCTTATTTAATTATTTTTACAAACTTTTTGTTTATCGAAATACAATATGTTAACCTGATTCATGATACAATTGTAATCGTAATCGGTTTTCCGTAAAAATGTAATATCATTTTCCGTTCAAATCATTCCGTTTAATTCATTCATAATTTGCATATTGCAAAGCGCATTTTTTTCAGCTAATTTGCAAATAGCATAAATTATCCCATTTGGTTTAATCGAATCCTCAATATTCTCAAATATAAGTACCAAATTATTGCTATCATTTTTCTTTTTCTTTTTTTTTTGTCATCAATATTATTTTGTAATTATTATCCAACATATACATTCTTTTTTCCAATCATTCTTTTTTGCAAATTTATTTTCTATTTGATGAATTTTCGATATTTGCATATGAAATATTAAATGGTTTAACTATTTGAATAATTGTCAATCGTTGATATTAAATTAATTTAATTTTAACAGATGCTATTTTTGAACAAAAATGGATTTGGATTACTATAATCATTCTTTGAAATTTTGAAAATAAAATAAAAATTTGACCTTCAATGGTGACACATTGCAGTATCCCTTCTTTTCTTTTCTTTTTCTTTTTTTTTTTTTTTTTTTTGTGGTCACTCATTAATGGCTTTTTTTTTACCGAACAATACAAAAATTCCTAAAACCTCTCTATTTCACACCGCCTAAAGCATCATCCCTGGTCCATCGTCTGCCTCATAAATTTTTGATTAGTCAATAATTTATGATGTTTTGTCTATCCTTTACTAGAGAATATGTTATATAGCGGGTAAAGAAAAATTATAGTCAAACCATTTTTTCTTATTCCCAAATTTTTTACTTATAATCATACGGTAATTTAATGTCAATATCAAATTATAATGTACCATATAGAGTTACCATATGGTTGGTTAATCGTAGACGAATGATGTCAACAAAAAATAGATGACACACTGAATATCAAATTATAATATACCATATATAGATAGATACTAATATGGTTAATCGTAAATGAATGGATATCAAAATAGGTGACATGATAAAATAATTGCTTAAATTTGTGATAGTTATATTAGTACAAAATGATAGTATTTTTCAAATTAAGGTTCCAATTTAGTTTTTTTTTTTTTCTAGGTTATCTAATTGTATCAAATACTTTTGGATTATTTTCTTTCTTACCTTTGCATTATGTACATTCTTTGTATTTCTATTCTAGGCTTAAAATTACAATGACCATTAAAAGAGAGCCTTTCGAAAGGCGGTTAATGACCATTGGTAATAAATGATCCTTATTTTATGTAGTATTTTCATTAAAATTTGCGCAACTGTTCACATATGTATATGTTTATTATTTATTTATGATTTTTATAATATTCCCCCCTTCTCGTATATCAAGAAATCCCTCCATTTGGTACCAGGCATGTAAATGGGTGATTAATAATCTCGGTCATAAGATTCTATTTCATTGATTGATAGTATGATGGGACATATATATATAATCTACCATCAGATTGTTAATTCTATTTTCAATAATTCATATAATTTGTTATTACCAGTTACATTTTGCTTAATTTTCAATAATCAAATTTATTGATTGATAGATTTATTGATTAGAACTATATTATTAACATTTGAATATTTGAAATAAGGATTTTGATAAGTGATAAATGTAAAAAGATGAAAGGATTATTTTCATTTTTAAATAATTAATTGATAATATGCGTTACTGTGAACATAATTTGAAAATGGTCATCAAATGATGATGCTGTGACATTTATTTATGACATTTTTTTCATGCTATTGACATTTATTCAAACTTTAAAATTTAGAAAAAAAATTTGACCATCGAAAAAATTCATTTGATTAAAAACTCGAAAATTTTGCAATTTAAAAAGAAAAAAAAAGCGACAAGAATCGTTTTTTTCTTTTCTTTTTTCAGATTCGGAATTACATTCCTATTGATTCTAACTGTAAATGATACAATGTTTATTGTCCACTTTTCATTCACACTTCAATCTTAGTGGTCATCAATTCCTCAGTGATATTTCCTGATTCTGTTATAACAGAAATAATTTCTTCCTGAAGTATTTATGCGAAATATCAATTCATCAATTTTCATGAGAAGTATCAAAATGATCAGAGAGAGAGGGAGAGAGAGAGAGAGAGAGAGAAATCCTGTGGTCAACTGAAAAATGATACCAGAACAACAGCGATTATAATTCTTCTCTACAAGCCAGCAATAATTTCCCGAATGTGATCGTTTATCCCTCATGAACTGGTCATTTATTGTGGACAAACAACAATGTCTCATTAAGTTTATTCCTCACGTTCCATATCTTCCTAAGTGCTATTCATTCAATTATCATAATTAGTGGTTGAAATGAGAGAAGAAAAGAGGAAAATTTGCTGATACTGTTACCAAAAAGGCGGGAATGAGACAGGATAGAGAAATAATAAATTATTGTTATTTAGAGATGGTTACAAGGATTGTTTACGAGTTTCAGTTAGAATAAAGAATAGTAAGCAAGTAGCATACAATCATAAGGCTGCTATTATTGGCATATAAGCGAGAAAAGGAAAGAAGGATTGGAGGTGTTCGGTGGACGTTTGAGTAATGCCCTCTGTACCAGTTCGGGTCAAGCGCCGGTCGTCGAACCCCTCTTACGCTATCGGTAGATGCACACATTTTCCATTTCCCCAGACATATTCCTCCTATCCTTTTACCTCCCAAATTGCTGGAAAGATAAAGAGGAGATGGATCAGGAAGTACCACTTAATGTTAGAGAAGGTAAAGAGGACATGATAAGGTCGTAGAACATGATCTCAACTAGCTACATACAACTAAATCCTTTCATCCCATTCATCAGGACAACATCAATTGTGACATTGTAGCAAACATGACAATTGATCATTGGTCAAGCATATGATACAATAATAATACCGCCATAAATCAACGTATGGATTATATCGTTCAATCTATAGATAGTATTTTTCAAACAGATCTTTTTTTTTTTCATTTTTCATTGATTAGTACGTTTCTTTATCATCCACCGTTATTAGATATCAAATTACTCAGAAATTTGACTCAACAGAAACCTTCTTATTAAATTTTCACACAAGCAGACGACGAACAGATGGACACCTGGACACTGACATACACACATACACACATACATACATACACACACACACACACACACACACACACACATACCATCTATACAATGAACTATTGTCAAGTAGTATCGCGGTCACAATAACCAGCACTGTTGGTAGACGATTCGTCTTCTCCGGTCTATCTATCAACCCTCTCTCCTTTTTATCTTCCACACTTATCCTTCTAATATATAATACACATGCTGTTTACATTTGTTATACATTTATCATCGTTAATAGATGTGTTTCTCTGATTCAATTTTTAACAAGTATTAACCTTTGACCTTTATGGTATAACATGATTATACGCTCTTTTCATGACATAAAAATTTTCAACAACATTGAAGTATGTTATGTATGATTTATTTTCCATTTGATATAATCATCAGCATTTCAAAGCATCATTTTTGCATTTAATTAAAAAATAATGCAAAAAAAAAAAGAAAGTTCAACGATTATATCTAATGCCTACAGGATGGTACCATGATATTTATTGGCCATGGTACCAACAAAGAATGGTACCAATGATATTGTCATGGTACCAACAAAGAATGGTACCAATGATATTGTCATAGTACAAACAAAGAATGGTACCAATGATATTGTTATGGTACCAACAAAGAATGGTACCAATGATATTGTCATAGTACAAACAAAGAATGGTACCAATGATATT